ATCTTGGTTAAGTGCTAGCACAACACTTTCTGTAGATGAAGTAGTTCACTAACAGACACAACATTTTATAGCCAAAAGCTAGGAAGTCTAAGGGCACCATTAGTAGGAATGTCAAATGTGATGAAATTAATTTTGGAAGCAGAGGAAAATAACCTGAGAATTGCTTTAAGGTAAGTCTTCACATCAGGTTAATAATCCTTAAACCATTAGTTCTCAAGTCACAGCATTTTAAGGCATCGCATCCAGTGGTTGCTGGTCCCTACCCCTTGATGTTTTCCACCCAGAAGGGCTAGGGTAGGACCCTGGTGTGTAAATATTTTTGAAGTGATATCTCATAGAGCATTGATATGAACAACCCAATTGTGCAAAGAGTCTCGGGCAACTCTCAGTTAAAGACCATACCCCGAAAGTCGGAAGAGGAACACAGATTAAAGCTCACTAGCCTCAGGGGAGTGTGCATGGGGGCTGGGGGAGGGGGAGGGGCAGCGGGAGTGTGAATCCAGAACACAGACTCGCAAACAAGCCTGTGCCAGCCGCTTATACTCACAAATAGGGGCCGAGCTGAGGCTGGCCAGATAGGAGTGGTCACCTGAGATGGGAAATGCTTATCGGTTTAGCGTTTTCTAGCCTGACTCTTGAGGCTGAACCACCGAGGCTGCGTTTTCCAGCCCACTGAAAACAAAGTTTATGCAGTGGGTAGTAAAGCACAACCCGACTCAGGGGAGTGTGCTGGGGACACTGGAGGACTGGCATTTTAAGAGCCCTACCCGTATTTCTAAGAGTCAAACTTGGTAATGTTCAAAAGAAGGAAGGGAAAAGGAAGGGAATGAGGGGAGGGCAGAAATCTGGGAAGACGCCTTTGCTTCTGAATCTGGAAAAGTCGGAGCTTTGCTGAGGTTTACAAGCCTGTCAGCGGCCCTTGATCTGTGAACTGAACTGTATGTGAGTGGGGGTGAGAGAACATTAGACTCACTTGGCTGCATGGCTCCTGGAGATGTACAAGTTCTTTTTCGAACTGAACAAAATGGTTATGTAATTGCATACTTCTCATAATTATTGAGTAATTACATACTTCTTATAATTACTGAGTAATCATTGTTCTATTACTAGGACTTAATGTTACAACTAATTGTATAATTACCATGTATTAATGTTGTTATCTAGGAAACTTAGAATAAAGTGGTACTTAATATTATTTCCTCCTGCCATGGCATTGTCAGAACTAGCATTTGTTAAATAGCTGAAATCTGCTTCAAAAACAAACAAACCAAATGCAAGAATAGAAATCTCACCAAAAGTATCATCACAGGTGTTTATTTGTTGATCTTAGATTTGCACCTGATTTGAAATAGAATTGTATTTTGTGGCTTAAGTTTTAGAAGTTATATTAGATTGATGTAGTTAAACTTGTTCCCCTATGTTAGTAAAAAGTCCGTTTAGACTGTTTCTGGAAATGGAGCCTTAGTCCCTATCGATTAAGATGACCTTTTGGAAATTGTACTAGTCATGTGACAATAGTGGCAGTTGTTTCAGCTCGAACTGAAGAAGCTCCAAGGAGCTCGATAGCATGGGACGCTCAGGCGGTCTTCGGATATGAAGCTACAGTTGTCCTAAGGTACTCAGATGTAATTGTGTCTAACTCTGTTGAGTGCAGGAACTATAGTTCTTACGAACTGTTGGCATGTGGCCATCAAACCCTAACAAGGTGTCTGCGCTTGGACTCAGTCATCTCTAGTTGAATCAAGTTGACCTAGCTGTTGTCTGCAGCATATAACTCATTCAACTGTCTGTCTTCATGTAATTCTTACTAATACATGAATGAAAATGATCTTGCCCATTTTTTAGCTATGAGTACTGTTTCCTTCTCCCATAAACAATTACAGTCTTGGAAACCCACAGGGAGGGGCATTGTGACTCAGCAATGACTCGATGGTGGTGAGTTTGGCTTTGGTTTGGGGTACCAGTTATTCTTATCAATTCCTCTACAAAAAACCACACCTTTGGATATGAAGTTTCTTACTACCAATGGAATATCCAGTGTGATAAATTATTCCATGTTAAGAATGAATTTGTTTTCTCAACACACCTATGTCTACTTCCGCTCATAAAACTATTCTGACTTTTGGAAAAATGTGTACATTTTTAAGGTTTGTATACACTCGATCCATATTTAATTTAAATGATCATATCATAACTAGGTATCATGTCATCTTTGAATCCATTGACTATTTATTAATTTCAAAGTTTGAGGTATAACCTGATGAGACAATAAGAAGGAGTTGGTGTGATTTTCTGGTAAGACTTTAGAATGTTGACTATTAATACATTCTTTGTGGGATGAGGGATAAAGTAACAGGTAATTCAATTACTGAGAAAGTGAAGTACAAGTTGAATAATCCTTAACCAGTTGCCAGTTCCAGATGTTTGTCGAAGATATATCAGTTGCATGAATTAGAATAAAAACAGTACCAATACTCCTAGCTATTAATTTTTAACAGTTATCATGAGCTGAGCATTATAAATAAGTGATACAATATAAAATGACCTTGTAAGAATTATCAGTCTCAGATTCCAGGTGAGATGCCCAAGGTCCGGAAATAGCAAGTGAATTAGCAATGAGCATGGCATTAAAAAATGTGGCAAGGAAAAAAAAGAAGGGGAAAAAGGAAAAAAAACCCGAACAGATAGACTTTGTAAATCTTTACCAAACAGCCTCATCTTTCTCCCGTGGAACAGCTGGTAATTTGAACTGTTGACTTTCCTGTTAATAGTCCAACTCTTTTCTGACAGCACCCCAGGGCTCCCGAATGACTAGGTCTTTGTTCTTGTTATGTGCCATCAGTTTGATTCTGACTCCTAGTGACGCTGTGTACAACAAACGAAACACCACTCGGTCCTAGGCCATCCTCATAAATGTTGAAATGCTGCCTGTTGTTGCGGCCACTGGGTCTCTCCATCTCATCAAGGGCCTTCCTTGTTTTGGCTGATGCTCCGCTCTACCAAGCGTGATGTCTAGGTGGGATCATGCAAATACGGTGTCTGAACCTTTGACTTGAGAGTTGGTTGAGTTCGCCATTCCAATAGCTATAGAAGGAGCTGCCTCAGAGTTAGAAATAAGGGCTCTCATGAACATCAAGAAAGAAAATCCTGAGTCTGTGCATTGACCAGCACACAGACAGCTTTGATCGCTGAGAAGCAGCCGTGCTGTGAAACGGAGGGGAAGATGCAGCTGTGGAAAAAGCAGCAGAGGCAGCAGTACCAACACCATGAGGCAGAGAGTCTATCTGCACCTTGTCTGACCTCCATCTCTCATGAAAAGACCAAGGGCTGACGCTATGCAGTCTGCTCTTTCCCCTGGTAAAGTCACAGGAGGCCAGAGATGACCCGCACCTCTTTCTCACAGGCACAGTGTGAGATGGCTTTCAGTATTGGGTCTTAACTTTTCATTTTAAATGTTTAATCGATAAAGATTATATCTGGACATCTTGCAAATATGCTGAGTTTTCTCCCCTTAAAATTTGAAATATCTTGTGTGTTTTTATTGGATTGCCTATCTTTGCAGAATATGTGTGGGGAAAGCATAGGTGTACACAGCATAAAAGATTTCTAGCAAAGGAAGAAGGCTATTTTAAATAAATCTTGATATTCATAATGGCTATTTATTCTGCATTTTAAAAATAACTAACATACTTACCTGGCCGGGGAGATACCATGATCACGAAGGTGGTTTTCCCAGGGCGAGGCTTATCCATTGCACTCCGGATGTGCTGACCTCTGCGAATTCTCCAAGTGTGGGAAACTCGACTGCATCATTTGTGGGAGTGGGGGACTGCGTTCATGCTCTCCCCTGATCAGAAATAAATAAATAAGTAAGTAAGTAAGCAAATACATAAATAAATAAATAAATAACATATTTCTAAAATTTCCTGAAATTAAGCACTGCTTAGAAAAAGAAAACTGACCCATCTAAATATTTCTAGAGCATATTTAATATATAAAGTGATGGAAGTTTTATAACACAATTTTCATGCATAGCTCTTTTCTTAATTTACCCTAATTCCTAACTCTTCTTAACTTTATACATAACCTGGTGCTGTAGGTCATGAAAATCAGACAGAACCATGATCAGACAGCAATATTTTTATATATCCTCACTCAAAAAACCTCAATATCACTGCCATCTAATTGATTCTGACTTATAGCAACCCTATAGGACAGAGTAGAACTTCCCACATGTGTTTCCAATATTGTAACTCTTTATGAAAGTAGGAAACCTCATTTTCCCCTTGAGAAGCAGTTAGTGGTTTCAAACTGCTTACCTTGCAGTTAATAGCCCAATAAGTAACCCACTGTACTACCAGGCATCTTTCACATATTGTAACCACTTTTAAATCTGAATTTGGGTCTGCTGACGTTTTGGAAGGATGGTTGTGGCTTGGGTGGAGGGTACAGTGAAGATGAGTCCTTTGTACAGTCAGGTCACCCCTGCCTATTCCCAGGAATCTCAAGAATGGACTTTTGATGAACATGGACACAGAGCATCTTCCACTCACTGATGCTTTTCCATTATTCTGACTAATTCGGATGAAGATAACAAAACAAAAAAAAAGCATTCTTTCCTATAGTTGGGACAGTTTAACAACAAGTCTTAGAAACATCCTAATAAGTTAAAAAGAACTCTTTGTGTGATCAACTCATAAATGTGCCTTTTTACTTATCATTTATGCATGATAATACTTGTACTATGGTTTCACATGATCTCAGTATTGATCACATTGATTTACAAACCGGAGAGCAGTTAACAGTTTACAGTTAACAGTTTGCTCACAAAATGGAAAAATTAGGCCCATTAATGGGGGATCGGTGTGGTGACATGTGCTCATAATTATTCTCTTCAGTATGGTATATTTTTAAAGCCTTGAGAATATGTAAACAATAGCAAGAAAACATCCTAATATATACACACATTTTAATAAGTCTTTCTTCTTTTTAATGAGCAGATGGTTACGACACCATTTTGAATGGCACACGCATCGTGTACAGCAGTGAAAACAGCCGCTGGGTGCTCGTCGATGGGTTGATTCCGTTTACTGACTATACTGTTCAAGTGAACGCTTCGAATAGCCAAGGCAGCTTGATAAGTGAACCAATCACCATTTCAATGCCTCCAGGAGGTAAGATTATGAAAAATAATGTTGACCTAATTTTATACAAGTGCCTTAGAACTAAGCCTCTATTGAACACACTTGTTTATGGTTCGAATGCCTATATTTAGAACTTACAGTCTCAATTTCATTTATTGTTTGATGCTGTCCTTTGTTTTCCTGAGATGCTTATCAATACCTTTACATCGATAATCTTTCATTGTTTTGTTGAGAATGTTTTGTAGAGAACCATATCTGTATTTTGTACATAAACACAGCTGTTGGTATCTAACAGTTTGTATGTTATGAAGCCTGGCAAATTCCTTTTTGTTTGGGGAGTCCAGTTATATGGAAAATACAAATTATATATAAATTGTTAATTTTTATATTTATATACATATAACATTTTATTTCACATTTATATACAAGTCCTAGGTTAAATTTTCTACTGCAAAGCTTCTCACTCCTGGTCTGTCGAAGAAATAGCTTAGATCTATACATCTAAGTCTTCCCACTTTACAAAATGAAGATGGGGAGAGGTAATATATAAAATAGGAAGCTTCTATTACCACTAGAAAAAAACACCTTTAAATTATATGCCTTCCTGATTATAGTTCATGAAAATCACTGTTATATGTGAAATGTGATACAGCCCAGACCTGTTTCAATATTTCTATGAAGAAAATGACAATGTATTCAAATTACCATTATTTTGGTATGCAATCAACTCTGATATTATGGCCTTTGAATGGAAAGCATGCCTGCAGATAAGAGCCTGACTCTGCACTGTGTTTAGGAATATGTGTTTTCTGAAAACATGGAAGAAAATACTTGTTGTAATCCAGCCTCTGGAACCAGTGTGTCCAGGACTAATGAGGAGGTCATCTCCTGCTCACAGCTGATGGCAAGACTGGAGAGACCCCCTTCAAGGCACAGAGGGGTGCAAAAGCAACACATTTCTCTTCGTGTGAGAAAAATAAGGGTCACTTCATAGTGTATCAGGAGCCCTGCTGGTGTAGTGGTTATGCATTAGGCTGCAGTCTCGAAGTCAGCAGTTTGAAACTCTCTCCCTGGGAGAACGGCAGGCTGTTCTACTCCAGCAAGAGTTACAGGCCCAGCAAGCCAGAGGGGCAGTTCTGCCCTGTCCTCACGGGTCACTATGAGTCTGCACGGGTTGGACGTTTTAGTCTTTAGGTTGGACTCTTTTTTGTTTGTTTGTGTTTGTTTGAGATGAAGACGTGTGAGTGAACTTGTCGTGACAGAGGTATTTTTAAACACATTTTATGTGCAATAAACCTGCCACATATGGACTGGGACTCTAGTAACAATATGGTTGGCTTACCCTCATAAATGTTGATTTAAGGACAGACTTTTTTTCTAAATCACAGAATCTTCAGTGTCTTAATCGTCATTTTTACTCAAACCGAAAGGTTGAATATTGGAAAAGATAGAAAACTATTATGATTTTATATGTTTGTAGATAGTATCCTTTATTCACATTTAGAAATGGAAGCAGATTTACTACTTTAATAGAATTTTTAAATTACCAAAATAATACTTTCTTGACAGATAAATGGCAGATTCAGTGTGTTCTCTAACCATATTTTGGCATTTACACACATTTAGACAGTTGGTGATCTGCAAGTAATCCATAAAGATAGTCAATTCACTCCCCGTGCATGTGTTTAAGAAAGTATCTTCTAATAATGTATACACATGCACACACAGGAAGAGGAAGACGAGAGTTAGTTCCTAAGCAGAGGAAATGGTTCACATACTCAACTGCTAACCCAAAGTTTGCAGTTCTGTGAGCCTACCTACGACAGGTAACAGTAAAAGCCTGGCAAATCTCTGCTAAAAAAATCAGCCATTAAAAACCCGATGAAACACCATTAAACTCGGACACACATGTGGTTGCCAGGAGTCGAAATGTATTCTTTCCCAAGTGGTTAGAGTTGGACAGACAGATTCGCTGTTCAAAAGCAGCAAGCTCAGTAATGACTATGCCTCTCAGAAGAAGGGATGCTATCATGTAAACATGGAGAGGCTAGAAGGCTGTTCTACGGTGGTGTAGCAGAACTGAATTAAACTGTGCACTGAGGTTTCTTGACCGGGAGGCTTCTCTGTCATGATCATCTGAAGACTACCTACATCCACTCCCCACACCCATTCACTCATTCACTTTATTGATATATTCAAAAATACGAAAATTTGAGAGAAAGCATTTACCAAAAGAGGGAGCAGAATGTCTTTCAATACAGACAGTGGTTTGCTCCGGTTTATTACAGCCATTAGGACATACTTTTCTTTCATCATTAGATTGTTGTTGATTACAATTAGGAAACTTATCGCTTTGAAATTATCTTTTTTATGACCTTGTGGCAGTTTAAAGGTGATACCTCATTGATTAAATAGGTTTTAGTTCATGCTTCCTTTTACTTAATGATCTGAAAACATATTATCCTGATTTACACATAGAATCATGCTGAAAAGCATGTGGCATTCACGAGAGTATGTGTGTTTAAGTAGAATTAAATTAGTACTGAGAGTTATTAAAGAAATCTTCCATGCCTCTGTCCAGTGAACTGTGCTTCATACTGAAATGAATAATAAATGAACCAGTATACAGAAGCAACCCAACTTATGGGTGGATAAAGTTCTATATGCTTTTTTCTTTTCTATTATATTTGGATTGTTATTATTTCCATTTGCTTGATTCAATACTAGATCTCCTTTTTAGTGACGTCAAAATCCTAGTGATAGCTTTCAGTGCTGGATTATGGCCATTTTGCGATGATACTATCCCTTGACGTGTTTCCTCACAGTGCATTCTAAGAGCATAATAAAAAGGGTTAGCAAAGCAGAACTACTAGTCCCCCCAACCCCTTTATCAAATGTCTGCTATCAGATGTTCTCTGAGGACTCCCATCAACCCTTTGATCAACCCTTACTCAATATTTGCTTCTAACTTAGCATCCATCAAAAGTCCTGTCTTAATAAGAAGACAATGATAGGAACTTTCCATGTCCCAAAGCACGGTAATGTGATATTGAAATTGCCAGTCTAATCTATCACAGTCAATACTCATGGAAGCATCATTCAAGAGATCAGACAATGTACTGCATTGGGTAAATCTGCTGCACCTCTTTAAGGTGTTGAAAACCAAAAATGTTATCCCGAGGACGAAGGTGTGTCTGACCCAAGTCATGATATTTTCAATGGCCTCATATGCCTGGGAAGTTGGACGTTGAATACGAAAAACTGAAGAAGAATCGATGTGTTAGGATTGCAGTGCTGGCGAAGAACATGGAAAGTGCCCTGGGCTGTCCAAAGAACAAGCAGATCTGGGTTGGAAGAAGTACAGCCAGAATGCTTAGAGACAAGGATGGCTGGCCTTAGTCTCACATACTTGGGACATGTTGTCAGGAGAGACCAGTCCCTGGAAAAGGTCATCCTTCTCGGTAAAGTCAAGGGGCCGTGGAAGGCCCTTGGTGAGAAGGATGGGCAGTGGCTACATCAATGGTCTCAAACACAAGCGCAATTGTGAAGATGGCTCAGGACTGCGTGGTGCTTCCATAGTGTCCCTAGGGGTTGGAACCTCCTCCAGGGCCCCTAACAGCAGAGATGGCTCCTTATGCACATTCAGGTTTTGGTGCTTGGGCAAAATCTGACACAGGGAGGCACTAGTTATGCAGCAGGGTCTCGTACCATTGATTTCAGCTCACAGTGACACCATGTGACAGAGAGGAGCTCCTCCCTATTTTTTCCCAGGAGCCCTGGTGTAGTGGTTACTAGTTAGCTGCTCCCCACAAGCTCGGCACTTCCTCGGAGGGAGAAAGACCTGGTTTTCTACTCATCGTAAAGAGGGATGCTCTCGAACACCAGCAGGAGCTGTTCTGCTCTCTCCGAGAGGGTTGCTGGGAGTCAGAACTGGCTTTGTGGCAGTGTTTTGTTTCCTGTCATCCTTCCTTGAGCAGAATACCAAGTCTTTCTCGGGAAGAGCCACTGGGTGGGTTCAAACCGCGGCTCTCTGCTTAGCAGCCTGGAGTGAAGCGCTTTTGCCACCATAGCTTCATCTGACAGGCTGGGAGTATAATTGAAATTTGGTGAGTTAATCAGGAAATAAATCAGTCAAGACATCTTAATAACCAGTTTTAAATAGTAAGCTTGTCATTTCTCAGGTCTACCCAGGTCCAATTCTTTACCTGAGCAACCATATATGATAGTAAGTGGGAAAGTTGTACTTTGTGCATTCCTGTCGGTTCTATGGATATATGATGGTACCCATGCAACTGAGGGCCCAGACCTTTGGGGAAAAGGAATCACCTAAATTGTACCAGCCCATGACCTTGATTCCTGTCGTATTGGATGCTTTCCTTAGGGAAGCAAAGGAGGAGCAGCTTGAACTTGGCCTAAGAGTTTGGAGAGGAGAGGAGAGGAACTTTGGGGGGGATCAGCATGGTTTATTTGGAGTTTTGTTTAATTTTGTTTAAAGTATGTGACATATCTGTACCTGTATCTGTGCACTCAGCTGTTTTATGTTTCCACAATTCCTGTATTTTTAGGTTGTTTGTAGTAACATATTGCTCCTAGCTCGTACTATGAAGTTTTAGAAATGAAGACTATTTAGCCTGAGCTCTTGAATAGCATTATGCTGCAGGTTCAAGAGTTCTAGGAAAATAATTTAAAAAATAAAAATGAAATCCAAATGTTAATCCATAAATATGAAACTCTCCTGTGCCCTCTACCCTTTCAAGGTCTGGAGTTACTAATGGGGTGAGGATTTCAACTCTTAATGGGGCTCAGTGCATTAGTGTTTGGTATGCATGGAATTCAGCATTCGGTTTAATAAGTGGTTGACATTGGTGATGTCCCTTAATTTGCTTAAATCTAATTGGCTCTTTTATCAGTCAAACCTGTATGGATTGGCAATTGATCAGAAAGGGTCAGCCATGACTCCGCATGTAGTTAAATGATGGAAGCACCAGTTAAAGCCACAGCTGCATGATAATCAGCAAAGGAGGAACGAA